GCATTCAAAAAGGACATACAAACAGATATGATATACTGACAAACGAAGTCCTGCATTACGCCCTTTCATGTGCTGTTCAATATGAATCACTTGTAACCGAACCTGCTGAGCTAGTCCATCTCATCTTGGAATGCGCAAATCTCGGCCATCTGACAAGTTGGTCAATAGTTCTTGATCAATGCTGGAGCTGCACAAACCGTGCAGAACCCAAGGTAAACAGTCATTCACCAATTGCAGCTGATTCCTCCATGTTGTTCCTTTCAAATCTATGGTTTGGCTTCAGATGAGAATTCCTCAGGTGTCCAGACCAGAATCTGTACAGAGTGAGTGTGTGCCCAAGCTGGACTCCTTTGCAGGCGCTGTGCGGCCACCACAGCGCTGGAATCTTCCACCTTTGCCGTGGCCGTTGCAGGCATTTTGCCAATGGCAGGTGCCAGCGGCCGTGGAGCTGTAAGTTTTGTCAGGGCCCCAGCTCCTTTTGTGTCGCGTTGGTGAAAAGAGCTCCAGGCAACCAGGTTCCATGGCAGCCGTCCTTCGGACTCAAGCACTGTCCTTCGGCCGAATGGCTGCCGTCCCAGGTCACGCTTGGTGAGCAGCGGGCCCAGGCTGTTTCTTGGACTTGCTCAACGGTTGTTGAAACCATTCCTGTAGAGGAACTATTGATACAGAAGTTTTGAGAACAACTTCAGTGATACAATATACACGAGTCATCATCAAACTCCGGCCTTGTTCCACCTTTTTTTCTGTAGACTAGCCTCACCGTGGAACAACAAGTGAACTGTGACAGAAACGGCTGCTCCCTCAGGCCTTTGGTTTGGAACTGCTTTCAATGACAATGCGTTGTATCATTTGCTAAGTCATGAGCCATGATGAGCTCTTGCAGGTGCCCACGCCTTGCAAACTCCGCAGTCAGGCCACAGTGCTCAGAGGTACTCCCCGCACATAAGGAACAGAGAAAGACAACAAAAGCAAGCCGGTGGTCCGGTGTTGTAGTTTAATTGCCAAAGTTCGATCATTTGGAGACTTGCAGATGCTTCAGGAATTGGAGAGAATCGAGTCAAGACTCTAGATGCCAAAGCTATCAGTAGATCAAGTTGAAGCTGAGGTCATTTCCTCTGCACTTCCGACCACCTTGGCGCCCAGCGGCTCTAGCTATATCACTTCCAAGGAGCCGGGCCCCGGGGCAGTTTCAGGATGTTTCGGGTCCTGATGATACAGCTGGTTCTTCTTGGAACATCTCTCAACAGATGACCTGTTGTGAACTCAACACATTCGCTGACTGAAGATATCCCGTCATACTGCGGTCATCGCCAGTTCAGAAGTCCATCGCCATTGCCACTTTGCATAGGGACTTGATACCAGTGGAGGGCGCGTAGGGCGCGTATTAAGCCCCAAAAATGAGCTCTCAAGTCCAAACTTGTTTACGTGAAGCATTATGATGCTCGTGTAGATCCTTGGTTTTGTGGGTGGATAGTCAGATATTCAAAAAAGACATACCAACAGATATACTGACAAACGAAGGCCGGCACAGCACCCAAGTTGTGTCTCAATGAATCAACGCAGTTTCGCCGGGTTGCATTCATTACACCCTTTCATGTGCTGATCATTATGAATCACTTGTAACTGAACCTGCTGAGCTAGTCCATCTCATCTTGGAATGTGCAAATCCAGGCCATTTGACAAGTTGGTCAATAGTTCTTGATCAATGCTGGAGCTGCACAAAGGGTGCAGAACCAAAGGTAAAAACAGTTCTCACAAAACTTGTAAAAGGCAAAGAAGTCCTTCACCAATTGCAGCTTATTCCTCTCCAAGTCATCCGAAGGTAGTAGAATTGAATTGCTTCGTTGGATGTGTTTAACACCAGCGCCATTTGTTGTAGATGTAGTGCTGTGGCGTGATGGACGCGTACTTGTTCACGTCGCACTCCCGGCCGTGTGCTTCGTGGTGTCAGCTGTGATCAGGTGTTGATGTCGTTGTTCTGCAGCGATTCAAGCACAGTTCGGGCGGTCACTGAGTCCAGGTTGATGAACATCACAGGGTCAAGGTTTCTATCGTTTGTGCAGCAAGATTCTAAAAAAAATCCCCGCCACCCAAAGCACTCGTGAAGATCCATAGGTAGACCAGTCTGCCTGGCAAGCACTTGAGCATACCTGACCTATTCTTCAAAGAACGTTTCTCGTTTATTGCAATAGAGCAGATTGTACAGCAGAAGCAAACTTCATGACATGTCAAAAGATAGCTTTTTAAACGAGTTGACCAAGAAGATGTCAAAAGGCGTGAAGCACTTTCAAGTTAACCAACTGCATTCTGAATTCGTTTGCATGCGAATCTGGCATGGCACGGGGCTCAGACAAACATTGAGGAGAAAAACACCTTTGACTTGTCAAGACCGATATAACCGGTGATTTCATGTGTTCCATGCTGTTGGCACATCTGTTTGCTGATTGATGGTTGTTTGTTCGAAAACACTCATGGGTTGGTTGTTGGTTTGCTGGTTCAATAGTCTAACCAACCAACCAACCAACCAACCAACCAGAAGACATAACCATGGACCATGGGTAATCCTGCTTTTGCGAGGTTTGCGATGATCCCTGCATTCCAGTTCGCGCCGGAACCTTTTGGGAAGTGCATGTGTGGTCAGGGCGGAGGAGTTCCAGCGGTGGTTAGTTTTGCACAGAAGTTGACCAGAGAAATGGAGCAATGGATATTGACCATTGAGGTTCCAGACACCTTTCCCGAAACCTGGACACCCCTCTTCACAAATTCACGAATCATGGGATTCTCGCTTTTTGAGGACTTGACGGTGCTTGCACGATGTTTTTACTTTTCGTGGGGTCACACGGACGGGTCCAATCTCCCAAATTCTTGAAAAGCGGGTGTGCCTGGGAGAGCACATACTGGCTCAAAAACCCATTCAACACACTGTCACTGTAAAATACCATGCCAAAATGTCCAAAACTGCCTTGAAACCCTGGGCTCTCAACTCCCATGGTTCTCCCACCTTCCGGAAGTCACTTAGTCCTCGTTCTCCGTGGTCTCCGACCGTGAGTGGGAGCGAGGAGCTCAGACCCTCCGTAGTCTCCGCCCCAACACCGAGGCTGGGACACCAGGTGTTGCAGGGCCTCGTGACCGTGGGGCGCTATGATGGCGCCTCGGAAAGGAGGAAAGCGACGCGGACAGCGACGCGGAAACGACGCGGAAGTCGCGCCGGGTGAGATCGAGTCGGGTGGCGGAGGATGCGGAGGGCAGGGCAGCTGAAATGGTTGGCGTTGACTGAAAGTCATGAAAGGGTGGAATGACGTGCTGTTTACTGCGTCCACTCCCACGTATTGGTACAAGCAGTGATTTGCGAGGTGAAGAGCCCAGCATTTTGCTGAGTCATGTGGATCTCAAACATTAGCAAGAAGGATGCAAGCTGAAAATCCAAAGGCTTCAGGCGATTGCTTTCATGAACCCACATTAATTGAAGCAAGCGAGGGATGTCGTCATGACTTGTCATGACTTCAGGTTTACCAGTTACTATCACATGACTGGTGACAAAAAACATCAAAAAACTGGCCACCAAGAAAGGACTATAGACGGTCTGAATCCACATCGGACATGTCCGAATTTGGACGTCCGATGTCTTGCCCAGTTGGTGTCGTTCTGTCGTGAACCCGCTGCGCGGCTTTTTCCTGCCTCGGCTGGTGCACAAAAAACGACCATGACATTTCAATCATTTGTCTTGATGCCATAGTGAGGAGCATGTTGCCATAGTCGTTAGTCTTGTAGTTCTCGATGTTGCTTGTGGGTCCTCGGGTTGTGTGCTGTGGTTGTGTGCTGTGTTGTGGTTGTGGCTGTGTTTGTGGTTGTGTGTTTGTGGTTGTGGTAGTGGTAGTGGTTGTGATTGCGTGTTTGTAGTTGTGTTTGTGGTTGTGTTTGTGCTTGTGGTAGTGGTTGTGTCTTTGTGATTGTGTGTTTGTAGTCCTAGCTGTTTAGTCCAACGCTTTAATTCTTTTTTTT